AGCCGCCACCATCAATCCAGTTTAGTGACCCCACACCTTCAAAATAACCCTCATTCATTGTGTATAGCAAGTGACCGCTCTGTGTGCTTGGATACAAAGCGACATGGACCAGGCCGCCATTTTTCTTTTCTCCCTTATTAGTTAATAATTATCTTGCATTTTCTTTTAAATGGTGGTATACTGTTCAGTAAATAAAGTCTGTGGAGAGCTGGTTTGATTGAAAAGACTCCTAAATGAAAGACAATGAGTGACCAGAGGAGTTGGGCAGAGAGACTCGCAGGCTTTGGGTCTGTACTTCACAACTACCAACGTTACTGTAGACTGAGAGCTTGACTAGGGTACAGGAAGCCAGCAGGACTACAAAGTCCACATGGTGAAAACAGATGGTACTCAAAGAGCTACACCGATGCACAGAGACTGCATGTTGTGGACTTTGATGAACACAGTGGAAATCATCATGCAGCCGATTCGGTTTGAGATATTGGCCTAAGGTGTGCAAAAAAGTTCTTTACAACTATCCTGAAATGTTATACTGAAAGATTTTCCACTGAGACAACTCAAGACATACACCACCTCTTTAATTATTTCAATAGAAGCACCACATAACCAATCTGCATCTTATGAGTTACAGTGAATGTCATCTGCACTAACAGCAGCAACAGGCTAAATCTCATTCAGAATCTCAGTATTTCAGTGTATGCGTGTAGCTTCTCCCAGCAGCCTCCCGCTGCCTCTGAGCTGTGTACTCCTGTTGATTTCACAATAACACTCTCTTCCCTGAACAAACTTCTCCGAGCATCACTGTTCACACAGCTTTGTTTTGAGGTAATCAGCTGTGTGAATGAGTAGCAGGCTGTGTGTGAAATGCTTTGAATGCAGATGCTGTGGGGCAAGAAAAAAATCTGTCATGCCAGTGAGTCAACTGTGACTAATTACAGGCCCTGCAGCTCCACGCCCTGCCTCCTCCTCCTCACAGAGTTTCTGCCTCCAAAAAACAAAACACAATCACATCCCAGGCCTGCTGAGGGCTTTGAGACACCGTGTTTCAAGCGAGTCGAGCCGCGTCCCTGAACGACTTATTTACTCAACATTTACGTGGTCTTGACCTTTTGTGCTGGAGCTGTTTGCACATATCTCATGTCAATATTTTTTTGTGTGCCTGCTAGTTGTTCCAGTCCAAAGGTTGTTGTGGCTAATAAGCTCTCAACGGGGACAAAAAGATGTAGGGTTTGACTAATTGAGGTATGTGAAGGTTAACAGCAGCAGCAAAGGTCTAATTTACATTTTCACTCAAAATGAACTTTTTTAAATCTTTCAAATTAATTTCATATCTTTAAAGGCTTTATATGTGATTTTTTGATCCAGCAGATGTCGCCCTTGAGCACCAGCTTTAAACCAAAACAACTCGTGCTGCATTGTTGTATTAGCATGCTAATGCTAGCGATCTTTATTATGCTGGTATCTTCACACTGCATGTAAATTTACCCTAAATGAGCGTGATCTAGAAACACAGTTAAGCAGTGAGTACAGTATGTTATTCTTCTTTTCTCTAGTCCCTCAATTAAACAACTTTTATACATGAGTGGAGGAGTCAGCCGGCTGTCCGGGCGATGTAAACAAACTGAAGATAGGACTCTGAAAACTCTGAAAGCATCACAGACAGTGGGACTCGGGTGTTACACCCATTGTAGATAGTCATGACTCACAGAGTTATTTTCAGAGGATATACTTGATTTCTATTATATTTAAGTGAGAAAAATATATACACATATAAAGACTTTAAGAATTTTAAATTTGTACTTATGCTTGTTACATTTATGACCTGTCTTTTTTATTTGATGCCTTTGTGGAGCGCTTTGTAAAAGTGCTCTGAAGATTTATATAAATATGCTTTATTAGAGGTGGCACAAAATATCGATAAGGCAATATATCATCACCCTGACCTGAACCGTGTAATCCAATTATTGATACACTGCCTGCAGAAGGAAGAGATAAAAAAGAATAGGTACTTTTATTACAAAAATACATCACTCTAACCAGAGCTCCCTGTCAATTCCACTCACAGTGTCACTACTTCATGACTCCTCTCCTAACATGAGCGGGGGGTAATCTGAGCGGGGGGTAACCTGAGCGGGGGGTAACCTGAGCGGGGTTAACATGAGCGTGGGGTAACCTGAGCGAGGTTAACCTGAGCGGGGTTAACATGAGCGTGGGGTAACCTGAGTGAGGTTAACATGAGCGTGGGGTAACCTGAGTGAGGTTAACATGAGCGTGGGGTAACCTGAGTGAGGTTAACATGAGCGTGGGGTAACCTGAGCGTGGGGTAACCTGAGTGAGGTTAACATGAGCGTGGGGTAACCTGAGTGAGGTTAACATGAGCGTGGGGTAACCTGAGCGTGGGGTAACCTGAGTGAGGTTAACATGAGCGTGGGGTAACCTGAGTGTGGGGTAACCTGAGTGAGGTTAACATGAGCGTGGGGTAACATGAGCGTGGGGTAACCTGAGTGTGGGGTAACCTGAGCGGGGGTTAATTGGCCCAAGAAGAAGTTGACAGTGGGGAAGGAGGCAGCGGGTTGAAGTCAGACAGTGGTCAAAAGATGTTAAGAGATGTGCTCACCGCTTTCAATTTCAAAAGATCCTAGACAAATCAGCACACTCATACCACTGAGAAGCCATACTATTAGCCCTACTGTGAGTCTTCTGAGTTAATATCTCAACTTGATATTACCATGGCAACAAAATTAGAATTCCCAGACACAAAACATTGGGTGATTCCTAGTTTCCAATGACTAAAAAGTTGCATGCAAACTTTACTGTATAAATAACGTGAAAATGTTGCCAATGAATTTGATGTATTAAGGCAAAGTTTTTTGAAGCATTGGTCATTATCGATGCTAGTTATGAATTAAATAAAGGAGATTATAATGTTTTAAAACACATGGTATCAAAAAGTATCAAGACTCTGACTAAAACTTGGTCCAAAACAAGCCTGTACAAGACCCATGGCCTCCAGAAGCTTGTAATGACTATTTTTCAATTATTTTTTTGCAACAATTACACGTTTTATTGACAATAAACTAAATCTAATTTAATCTATTGGAAATAATCAATAAATGCAGCCAAACTGAAACGATGGATTTGGAAACCGTGGTGAGGGATGAACTTGTAATATTTTTTGGGAAACAATAATTATAGCATCATACAATCAGGTCTGAACCTGTCCAACTGAAAGGATAAAGATATTTTTATATCAGGGACAAAATAACTCACAGTTAATACTAAACTTGGAGCGAAGCCGTAAAGTCTGACAAAACAAATCCAGTCTATAAATATGATACATACCGATATTCAGACCAGCCTAACTTGATAACATTGACTTCAGTGGGCCTCTTTGTCTGGCCGTGTCCCACTATGGTTGCCATGAGGCCAGAATATTCAACATGTATACATACAACAAACATAACCGCAGAATAAGGCACCCAATGTTGGGTAATTTCTTGTTTTTAAAACAAATGCAAACTTGCACACTGTCTCAATTGCACAAATATTTTGGCAACGCATTCGGTACTGAAGAGTTGCCAACATATTTGTATAATTAAGACAACGCTTTCTTTCTTTCGCTCACGGCAGCTTTGGGTCAAAAATATGATGATTACAACTTCAGTACTTCTGACTTTTATAGTCTTGAAACACGTGGTATCAAAAAGAATCAAAGTATCGAACAGTTTTGACAACTTTAGCCCACCTCACTGTGAGGTCATACAGCCTCAGTGTTCAGATGAGGCGCTGCAGACACACCGTCTGACTGCCATGTCTTTATAAGAGGTCCCAGAATGCGACAGGGTAGACGGAGACAGAGGGCATGTTCGTCTCAGACTGAGCCGCCTTCATTCAATCTAACACTCCTACAAAAAAAAAAGGGGTTGTAATTACACGCAGGGTGAACTAACGCCTTCTCACACAGGCACAAACACATAAAAAGGCCTTGTAAAGGATTTTGTCTCAGTGGATTCATTCAGAGTGGCAGACAAGTTCAAGATGTCTAACACAGCTCCCTCCCCCGCTCTCTTCACTTTAGGAAACAACAAACAATACGGTTGCTATGGCGTCATCTGGGTACCCTGAGACGGCATGACAGCAGCCGTTTAGCGAGGCCAAGTTTCAGACAGCTCAGTGAGAAGAGCCTGGATAACGCCTCCTTTTCACAAACAAACACAGATATACTGCAATCATGACACTCCCCCTAACCCAGGACATCACACGAGCTAAAGTTAAACCAAACTTCTCAGAGAAATTTGGCAACTTTTCATCTCAGCTCTTGTGGTGATAATCATTCTAATGAAAACTCTCAGATGGGTTAGGTGGTGCTTAAGGCAAGTTTCTGAGAGTTTCTGACAAGTCTTAAGATCCTCAGTAAAATCCTCTCTTTGTCAAACTAAATATTAAACCTTGAACGGCTTGCGGTTCTGAATAAAATCAGTTTTAGACTCATTTCAAGAGGCTCGTTTTAAGAAGATAAAAAATGATCAAACCACTTATGCATCATAATCCAAAGCTCATCAGTATATTCAGTACCCCTCACTGAGTTACTGCTAATTTAATCACTTCTTCAAAATCCTAACATCGCTGTTAAGTCTTCAGAGAATGAGTCTGTGCCAATGAAATGTAGAGGGGAGATGGACTGAATACATCAGAACAAGTGGTTATATTCTATAATGTATGCCTCAGATGTTTTTTTTGAAGCGGCACGTCCAGCGGAGGATAAACGCTCTGTGTTATAAACAGTGACATGTCAGACTACTCTGCTCGACTTCAGGGAGTGAGGGTCATTATGAAATGTACATTAGCAGCAGGTGAGGTGCAGGTTTTTCAATCAAAACTGGTCCATAGACTATAGGGTGAGACAGCTACATAATCTATTAAGTGAACTATTCCTTAAGCAGTGTGAGGAAACACGTTCCTGGCACACTGATAAGATACCACATGTGTTAGTGACTCACCAGTCTCTCCATCTCCTGCTCCCGGAGCCTCTCCTCTCTCTGCCGTCGGTGGTACTCCAGCAGCTCGTCCTCGTTGTCGCTGATTTCCGAGATGCTGTTCTTCCTCTCCCTCATCCCGGGGTGGGGTCTCCCTGCTGACATCTTCCTGTGGCTCCTGGGGCTTGACAAGGGGGACGAGCCAGGCAGGGAGCCCAGGCTGTAAGCAGGCGACAAGGAATTCCCAAAGCTTGCCTTTCGGACTCCCGGGCCCCCGCCACCCTCCATCATCATGGAGGTGGGCGAGGGGCTGCGGGCTCGGATCCCCCTGCTGCACATCTGCTCCTCGGGGGTAGATCCGGACTTGCGTCGAAGCCTCGGACTCTCTGGGACAAACTTGCTCAGACCTGAGGGGCTGTCGGGGGTCCTCATGGTGGGTACTGTCCCCGGGAGCGCCCCTGGTAGTACCGGGACCCCCCTTCGAGCCAGGGAGGGGCTAAGCGGCGGCAGCTCTCTCATGCTGCTGCCCCCTCCGCTGCTGCCGTTCAGCTCCAGATTCCTCCTGGCCATGCGGGGGCTCTCGAGGGGCTGTAGCGAACGTGGATGCTGCTGGAGCGGCGACCCTTGGATGATGTGGACGATCGGGTCCAGGGGGGGCTGGAAGGCTCTGGTAGGAGGTTGGGAAAGCTGCCAAGAGGGGCTGGTGGATAACATGCAGTCAGCGAGACTTGGCTGCTCTCTGAAGGGGCTTGCAGGTCTCTCCTGGAGCACTGTGGTGGTCTTGGTCCTGGGACTGGAGGGGGACGGGGATGAACAGGAGGGGAATTTTGGAGTGAGTCTAGGGCTACTCGGCACAACGTTTCTACTACTGAGGGACTCACTGGAGGACAGGAGAGGGGTCTGTCGAGGGCTCTCCGACCCGTCTTGGCTTAGTCCTCGGCGGCTCGGCTTGGGGCTGGGAGGAGCCTCCGTGAGGACCTTCCTCTGCAGCCGGGGGCTCTCCTGAACCTTCAGCCCCCCGCTGCTGAAGTTGGGCAGTATGGTCCGAGGCTGTGGAACGGGCGGAGGCTGGGCGGTGAAGTTGTAGCTAGACGAGCGAACAGGCACTGGCGGCAGAGAGGAACTCTGGTCCTGGGGTCCTCCACCAGGAGAGGGGCTGGTGAAGCTCCCACTGCTGGCCGCTGACGGGGAGGAAAGGGGCGAGAAAGGAGGGGAGTTGTTCTCATAGCTGGACCCCACAGACATGGCCCCCGGGCTGGTAGGAGGCGAGAGAAGATAGCGGCCCCCTCCGTTGACCATGGGGGACAGGGGAGAGTGGGGGATGGGCTGTCCTCCTGGGGTCTTTATGCCCTCTGAGGAGGATGGCTGCGGGTCGTCCATGACTAGAGAGTCCATAATGTCCTGGAGGTCCTTCTCAATGGAGCTGACGATCGCACTGTGCTCAGACTGGACTCTCTCTCCAGGAGCTGGACCGGCCTGGTGATTCCCATTGACCAAGCTCTCTTTGTCTGGAAACAGAAAAAAACAACTTTCAGAGGCTTTGACTAGGGATGTTCCTAGGCAACTCATTTCAAAGACAATTCAGACTACCCTAGTCTGAAGGTGAGAGAAATTCTAAGAAAACAGTCCATATTGAGCATTATTTAGTTAAAGTTCACTGCAGGAACACAATGTAATTTGATTTGCCTAACTTGGCTAGCAGTGTTTGCAATTCCAGCCTTGAGTCCTCCCAGAAGGTTGACATTCACATACTTGTTCTGAATGTGGTTACACATTGCTCCAGTCAACACAACAGTTCAACCTGACACAGCATCCAAGTTTATTTCCCTTTTCTAGATTAAAATACGGCCAGGCGCTCGGCTATCTGTTCTCTGTGCTTGTTTACATCTGGGCGATAAAGCCAGTAGATAGAGGACCAATTAGGGTCTCCTATGGCTGCAGCCCCGGCTAGAGGCGGGCAACTGCATTTGGGAATAATATTTGCCCAGAATCGGGGGCTAATATATAGAAACATTAGTATTGTGTTTAACTGACTAGTAATACTGGTGGTGACTAGAGAGAGAGAGACAACTTCAATCGTTTAGTCAACTTAACGCATACATCCCATAGCAGCTTTGACCAATAAAAGCAGAAATACAAAGAATGCAAAGAAGACTTCAATCAATGCACGTCAGTTTGACGATCTTAAGAATTGTCTGTAACTTTGAAATTGCTTGAAATGTTGTTTGGTATAAGGCCAGCATTAGAGGGTTATTGTTGTGTATTTGATTTTCTGGAGCTTTTACAATTTCACTCCTGTTTTTTTTTTTTTTTAAGGAGAAAAAAAAGTCTTTATGTGGTCTCTAAGTGGTCTGATCTTTGTACACGAGTACCATCGATGTCTCTTAAATCCAAGAGTTGAATGCTGAATTTTCATTGATTATCTTTAATCTATTAGAAGTTCAAATGTTCATTTGCTGAATGACCTTACATCACCTGTTATTCCCCAAGGTATTAAAGAAGGAGATGAAACAAAGGATAAGATCAGTTTAGTGAAAGTTTTTGTATTATAAAAACGTTTTGACTTCCTCAGACTGTGCCACTGCCGTTGGCTTCTTTTACAAATTTCTTTAATTGACTTTTGATGGCTGTTCTTGTGGGAAATTAAATCATTTTAGTGACTCCCAAAATAGCATAGAAGTCACAGAGAGCATTGTGTTTTTGCAGCACATAAACAAGGTCTTATGAAACCCTTTCCTTCTTGTTATCCCCCCTATTTTTAGTATTTTTAATACACATCTGATATAATATGTTATTATAAACTGGTACATTCTGTAAAATGTTTTTTCTTTTCTCCCTTGATTGTGAAGGTTTTGTTTCAACACAGAAAACATCTAAACATGTTAGACCAAACAGACTAACTCTTGCTTTTCTGGCAAAAGTTTAAAATCCATCCATCCCTGAGCCTTAAGGGAATTTTACAAATTTCCCTACGCAAAACTATCCATTCATAACATTGTCACTGCTTTATAGGGGATGTTAAAAAATCGTCAACTCCATGTTTAGCATCCCAGTGTCGAGGCCCTGAAAGAAAAGTAAGCATGAGAGCAAAGGAGGGACTAGCGGCAAGGAAAGAAAGAAGGACACAACCGAGTAGATGAACAGAGAGACAAACAGGCCTGTGCTTTGGACAGGGATAAGGAGAAAATGGGCCTACATAACCCAATTACTGTGTGGCCCGAAAGCGATAGAGGACACAGGCCTGGTAATCTAATCCTAACCGTCTCTCTCTAATGTCAGCAGCATAGTAGATTATTACAACCGAAACACTGGGCCACGTGGGAGTCAGCAGCATGGCCTTGAGGCAGGGATCAGAGCACAGATCAGGTGTTATTTAATGCTGAGTTACATCTGTTTAGACTGAGTTTGCGTTTATTTTAATTGAAACAAGGAGGAGACAATATTGCAAATACTGAAAAGAGCTGCCATGTACAATAGTGATGTAATAACATCAGGAGTCATTAAGGATGACTGTGGGATGATGTCACAGAGAGATGTCACAACAGAAAAAAATGCACTAAAATAGAGAGGCTTCACAAATAATGCATTAGAGAGAGATGGGAGCAGCTTCCTGCCAGCTCCCCTGTAGAGACTCTGCCATCGTGACAGCCTGACCACTATTCAATCTTGAAACATCTCCATGCACGTTAAGTCTGCAGGCTGTCACAACAGCACATGATATCCGTGTAGAACCCAATGAAAGTCAATGTCACATCGTGTCTCTCGCACAGCACACACACCGGCTTCATTGTGATGTGCAGAGTCAAAATCGAGGGGGGGTGGGGTGACAAAACTAAAAGCAACCGTTTGCTGAGAGAAAGCCCCATGCAATGATGTCATTGGATACAGTCTATCCCCCAGCTTCAGACACGACATACCAAACTTCATTTAAAAAAACCTTGCATTTTAGTGTTAGACAAGCTGCCATTAAATTTGCGCGCCTGATATAATGTGACTTCAGACATTGTATTACATGTGTAGACTGTTATTATACGGCATCGATACAGACGTCAACAAGCTCTTGTTACCTGAGCATAAGATAGGTCCATATGTCATTATCGAAATTCCCTGCTCATACTAGTACAGGTAGTTGTAACTGAGCCTCAAACAAAAATATGTATTATTAATACATAATCATGACTTGTTTTTAGAACAATTTTAGCCGAATTAGAAATTACAATCTGACGAATCGTTTAAACTATGTAATAATGTTGTGTGCTGAATACACCGTTACAAAAAATGTAAATAATCTTCAAAGCGAAATATTTTTAATGGAGTTTGGCGTGTGACCGGTTCGCATCACTCCTCTCGCCCAACGCTCAGGCGTTAAGCAGTACTCACATGAAGGAATACAACTGCGACCCGGTCAGTTTCACCTGCTATGTGACACACAGGAGGGCCCACATCCTCCGAACACCGGTTACCGACCGGGTGTGACGGAGCCCTGCCGCGCCTGGCTCCACATAAACCGAAGGGGATATAGGAGATTCACGGCCGAGATGATATTTCATCCGGGGGTTGGGGTGCTAGGCACCGCTGCTGCTGACAGTACCACTGGTGTCAAGTTACTTCGAACGGAACGAGGTGTTTCCGGTCATGACTTTCAAAATAAAAACACAATCACGCTTTTTCTTTTTTAAAACATAATCAAGCTTAATCATAATTCAACTACCCCAAGTCAGACATTAGCTGATTAGTTTTAAGCAAATGTTCAAGGAATGATAGATAATCAGACAATACGGGTCTCAGCATTTCAGCCATTAGTATGTATTTCAAATACAAAGGAGTAATCATTTTATTTTGAAGGTCATCCCAAATAACTTCCAGCGTCGTGACTAACTTGACATGGCTATTTCTCGTTGGGGTGATGTGAACTACTGCGAGATTTACAGCTCCGTTTTAGAGTCACAGCAGTAGATTTTATGGTTTGTCATTGTCTCTGATGCAAATTTTATGAGTTAGTGAGTTAAGAGCCAACTGAAGCTGCTTCCATCTTTGACCACTGCAAGAAGCCTAATGAAACCTCTGCAAAACATGCATCATGATACATTTCAAAACGAATTGCAGAGGAAGTTCTTAGATCATTAGTAGCAATACTGCAAAGTATACTATATCCCTCAGGTAAAAAATAAAGAAAAGAAATGTAAAATGTTCCATAAAAAAGCTCCCTGGGTGTAACATGCATTTCTGAAGATTTCTAGAAATTTTAGACAGCCCCTGAAATCTGAACCCTGAGTTGGTTGTTCCCACCTGCAGCTCACAGCAAGAGACTATCCATGTCAGGCAGGGGGGTTGGATCTTGGGTGAGGGGGCTTTTCTCAGGTGGCAATGCATGACGTAAAAAGAAAGAGGCAGCATAACATATGAAGACAATAATTGCCTTTATATCAATGTGTAGTTCAACAGGTTCACAATATCAACAAAACATCATGTCATGTGAATACAGTCTGTGGTTGTGCGCCATTTGCAGGATACGAGCTCACTGCTTGTTTACAGTGATTTTTCCTGAATATTTCTGCTGCTGTCTCACATCAGCATCACACACAAAATGTACCAGCAGGCTGGCAGAAAACAAGTCGTTTTGAAGCAGCGTTTTCAGGAGCATTTTGCAAGAGAAGACACCACTTCATAACAAAAAATATATACTTATCCTAACTTCTGTGTTAAATGTTCTAACTTTTCTGTTATGTATAAAACATGTTTTTTGAATGCAGTAAAACTAAAGCCTCATCCTTCATTTCCTCAACATTTGAATTGGGTTTTTATTATTATGTCAAAAACAACTTAAGTTGACATTTACAAATTAATGAAACAACAGATTGGTTTCAGAAAACATTGTTTGTTATGATGGTTTATGGATGGTGGTAAAATAATTTAGTCTGGAGCCTTGCTGACTGGAGGCCTCATTGATCTGAAATGTTAGGGGGAAAGTTTTTCCACAGACGTGGAAATGTGGCTTTTTAAATGGAGTGAAAATGAAAAGAAGAACGTGATGACTGTCTCCAGTGGCAAACAGAACTCTCTGTCCAAGATTGTCCAGCCCTCTTTTATTAAGAGAATCTTGTTTTCATCACGTAATGATAAAAAACATTTGAATATCAGAGACGCAGCATGTGGTGGTGCCACGATGCAACCACAATAACAAATGCATCCCCAGCATTCAGCCCTGTGCAGCACTGCTTTTTGCAGACTGTCAAGCAGCCAGTGACGGATAGAGCAGACAAATCACAGGCAGATAAAGGCCTTTCATTGAACACAGAGGACGGTTGGTGGGTCGGTGGGTGCAGGATGGGATCATGAGGGGAAACCCCACAGAGGGGGGGGGGGGGCAGAGGTGGCAGACAGCAGTATGGAACTGGAGCTTTAAAAATAGTCTCTGAAAAAGATACTGTAACTCCAGCCAGCGGTTGCTTTAAGTTAGCAGCTCGGAGCCACAAAGCCGTCTCCGGGCCGGACAGAGAGGAACAGGAAACATCCAATCAGTGAAGAGGAGAGAGCTGACAGACTGCTGGTCATTGGACTGACACTGACCCGGAAAATAACACCAGAACTGAACAGAACGGTGAATGTGACTTGCATCACAAAGACAGAGCAGCTCTACAGTGATTCATTACTCTTATTCTTGAATGAGCTACAGATTATCTTTACTAGTTTTATTTACTTCTAGTCTATAAAATATCAGAGAACTGGAAATCACAATTCCCCAAGGTCCAAAGTGATGAATCGAAATTGATTCTTTTATCAAAAGGTCCAAGACCACAAGACTTTATATTTACAAAATGACCAAAAAAAAAGCTGACCTTAAAATGTTAAATATTTGTCTCAGGGTTTATCATTTCAGCTTGAGAAATCATTGAACATGTTCTTCATTATCAGAATACTTGCCATTTATTCTGGCAGTTATTGGTTGCATCTTTATTTCATAAGCTTTCACACTGAAACAAAGTCATTTAAACTGAAAAGTACATTTTGCAGAATTGTACCATAATAGTGTCCTGTAAGTGTGTCCAGTGTGCAGGCTCATGTGTGAGCTTGAAATAGATCCAACAAGTTTTACCTCAGGCTTATATTAATGTGTTCTAGATGAGCATTGATATTTTGAATTAATAAACCCCTTTTCTGTCATATTTGTGAATCTCAAACGTAAATGTTAACTAGGAAGTGACTTAAAGCTAACCTTAGCAGTAGCTAATGAGTTTTTCAATATGATTTTAAACTCATAATATGGCCCGATGTGCTACAGATTTTCAGTATCCATTCTCACTGTATGAGATCATCAGTCAGGAAGCATTCAAATGAAACAGCCGCTCAGATTTTCATTTTTTTCATTTTTCGTTAACATGACTTAAACCTGGAGTATGACAGGAAGCCACATGGCCGCCATGGTAATATCTATTAAGGTTTTACTTCCTTATAGCTAAAATGGACCACATTTCAGCAGGTATCAGCCATGATGTATATGTGTACACAATAAAATAATATCATTGCTTTATTTTAAACGGAAATGTTCAAAATGTGCAGCCTTATTAAAAAGTAGGGTAATTGCTGGGTTTGCCCTTCAGGATAGTTCAGGAATCAATGTGCAGATAACAAGTGTAATTTCAAGTGTTTCCAAGCTGATATGACAGATATGCACAAATTATCATGGGAGTGGTATAATGAGGTTTCATTTGCATTCAACCCAGGAATGCATAATTGAGGAAAATGGTACGTTTCTAAACAACGGAAAGCATTCATTACTGGACCAGGAAGTCCACAGCAGCCAGAGTGCCAGTGTGCTAAACTTATCCCTCGTCAGCAGGCGGGCAGGCAGCGTCAACAGTGAGAGGAGGGAAATAACAAGATGCTATGACACATTCATGGTCATAGAGCCGGCCAAGGAGAGGTACACTTACAGTTGTGTGGTTGCCAGGAGCGGAGCACACATGGGCTCACACACACGTACGCAAGTAGCTGAAAACTTTGCCTGGAGACGCAGAGGAATGAGATGCTCATAAAACATGCATGGTGCGAACTTCAGCACCATGTCCCAGCTGGGCTCTATTCAGGCTGCAGGGTTCAACTGGTGCTGCATTTTAAAGGCTGCTACTGACAACAAAAGTCTGTTGTTGAGCTGTAAACAGGAATAACTGGACTGTAGGCCTTTGGTTTTACACAGTTAAGGTGAAATATAACCATTCTGGAAAGGGTGTCACCTGAATTATGAACTATGATTGGCTATTTTGCCTGGTTACAGGCAAGATAATGTACAAAACAACTTTTTAGTTGTGATGCTTTAACCAAGCGGAAACCTCCAGTGTTGAAAATGTATGCCAATGTTTAAGCGCAAAAATTGCAGTTCCTTGTGTGTCCACTTGGTGCTGGCTGTGAGTGCCAAGATATTCCTGTTAGGTCCCAAATTTACATGTCCATTTTGAAAGCAAAAATTCAGATGTTTACAGCCTGCTACTTAATTATTTGGGTCTCTGTAGCTGGGGTTAAACTAAACTAAAAATCTAGATGAGGGGTTAATGTTTTCATAATTCATAATTTTGATGATATTCCGTCTATGAGTAATTAATAAATTAGCAAAATTAGTTTCCTTTGTCAGAGCAGAAAAGTCATTAAAACTAACTGAAGGCATTCTTCTGGTTGGTTTACAACACTAAACGGCAATATTACGTAAATGTATTGACCAAAACAAGGTCTGAGTTCTGAAAAAAAAGCAATGAAAAATCAAGATTAATGAGAATGCCAAGAATATCAAATTATTAGACCTTTTTTTTTCAGTATTGTGCATCACCACACTATTATACTGTTCTTGTCCCAGAAGACTACTGCTTAAGTCCCCCGCCCTTCCCAGACTATAAAAAGAAAGAATGCATGGATTTACTGCTGTGCAAACATCCACCTGTAAAAAACACACTGCCCAGCGGCTCCACCTCACCAACCCGTCTGTTCAGCGCTAAAACAATCCAGACCATTCATCCACACAGACTGAGCTGTAACTGTAACTTCAGGAGGAAAAGAGTGTTTTGGGGGGGGTTTATTCATGGGACAAAAGGTCAGTGTGTTTTATTCACACTGACTGGAACATGTTTGTGGCAGAGAGAAGTCCTGACATGATGTTAAGTGAAAACAGGCTGAAAATACAGTTACAACAGTGAATGCATCACTCAGTATACCTGCACGTAGTCTGTAGTCCCCGGTGGAGACGCTTCCTCCGTGGGGCATCATGCTCTTCATCCTGAAAGCTTCTTCTGGGTGGTTGAAGCGGAAGAAGGCCGACTGGCCAAAACACAGCATACAGCCTGGAAAACAACACAGGAAAAAAAACTGTTTTAATTCTGCTTCACAGAACACGTAAGAACTTACAAAGTAGAACACCTCAAAGGAATGAAGCAAGTGTGAGAGATTCATCCAAATGCTTTTGTGCTTATCTTGAAACTGAAAGAGTTTAACCCCATGGTTACTACATCTTCAATCAAACAGCAGCATTCAGTGTTGAAAAATTAAGTGTAAAACAAACTGTAGTTCCTCGAGTGTCCACTTGAGGCTGGCTGTAAAGCTCCTGAAGTCCCATTACTGCCATGTTAAAGTGCCAATTTTTACAGCAAAATTAAACATGTTTGAAAAATGATTTTTGTCTGAACTGCTCATGTGTTTATCTGCACACAATGTACAAGGGATGAATATTTTCATAACTAAATCATCTTAATTTCTGGCGGGACTGTTATGACTGCAAGCGGGAGTGTTGGAGCTGTTTGTCAGGAGGCTTAAGGTCCTCAACTCCACCCCTTACCTTTTACTAGGTTGGCCGTAAATTAATCTGAGACATAATTTTAAACATGTTGCCCCCATCATTGGTCTTCTAAACTGCGCTTCAGAAACCAATGGGTGACGTCACTGAGATTATGTCTATGTTTTATACAGTCTATGTATGGCAGATTGGTGTATTACCACAACACAAACCACACCTATCCGTATACTCCAGTGTCTTTTGAGCTTTGCAGGGGCTGATAGGGGTTAGGGGTAAAATGAGCTAGTTTGCCTGTCAAGACCTAAGAGTGGTACTGAATCATTTAGCTCTCAGAAAAACAGTCATAAATCTACCTGTTCAGTGTCCCCTCATGACCAATGAAACAATCATCCAAAATAGTGGGATGACATTTTCACAGCATTCGGAGACACAGAAGAGCATCATCACAACAAACAGAGAGGTAATTAAGGTGGCGTCACTATCATTCTGACAGTCTGAAAGGATCGGAGGGGGAAGTAGTGCCAAGTCATAAACAGAAAAGAAAAACACAGAGGCTGTGCTGACGCATACAAATCTGTCAGCAAAACCAAAAAAATACAAACAAAACACTGACACCCATGGTTTAAAAGTGACAAAGAACAACACTTTTGGGTTTATAGACTGAGATGAGATGAAAATAGCAGCCTATAAAGAGGGCCGTGCAGATTAAGCACCTCTGAGTATCAAAAAGTACGATATTTATGATTTTCACGAAAACACATTTGCATGTCAAGCTCAAGTTTTTTTTCTCTCCCTGTGAAGCAGGAAGCTACATCTGAATTGTTAATTGCATTGTAAATTAAATTTTAATCAGTTATATGCCCTCAACATGAAAAAAGCCTGTCTTCTCCCGCTAATTGAAATCCCAGAGGTTTATACAGCCCTGACATCCTGCCTCGACAGGAAACACATCCAATTATGGAGATAAGATTATCTAAAAACGCTGCTTTGGTAAGTATTTAATCTGCACAGTAAATAAAGTGATGACAGACTTAATCTTCAGTTTGTTTGATGTCTTCGTTGGCTATGGGTAAATCTGTAAACGGAGCCAATAACTCATCTTTGCTTTTGAGGTGCAATGCAAACTAAAATATATAATATATTAAATCTATATATTTATATGTAAATATAGACATGTCGAATGTGCTACAACAAAATGTGTCTTTGTTACAAATAATTTTCAATCAGCACACTGGTGCCATGAAAGACAAAGAGCCGCGCTTTTGTGTGTGTTTGTGTGTGTATTTGTGCATGTGTGCATGTGTGTTAGTTTGTGTGTGTGTGTGTGTGTGTGTGTGTGTGTGTGTGTGTGTGTGTGTGTGTGTGTGCATGTGTGTCAAGTTTTAAAATGACATGAGTTGAATTTCTCAACCTACCGACCATGGCGGTGAATAAATACAAGTAACTTAACAGAGTGTTACAAACAATGTGGTCTCCTGTTCCACTCTGATTCAATAAGCAGAGCCAGGTGGTCCTTAACACTCACTGATCACAGGGCTCTGTCCCCTCCTCGTGTCAGAGCGGGTGTCAGTGTCTACAATGGTCGGCTATGTGCTAAAATGGTTTGGCTCTGTGTCCCTTAAGAGTAGGGCAGCACTGATTAGCATCTTCATTACAGCGGGTCTACCTGCTGAAGGTGTGTTTAAACTGATGCCTTGCTGTCTTAAGTCCAAAGTGATTAAAAGAAGCGAGCTGTGGCAGTGACTCATGGTCAAAGGAGCGGCTGTAAATACTGTAACTTCCTACAGTTTTATCAAAAATCACCGCTAATGATAGCGCTGCTAAAGCTAGGTTCATTCAATGATAAACACATTCTATTTTCGACAAGAAATACTCAATGACGTCCACAAGAAGAAATCGATTACTCGAGTAATTGTTACCCTTCCCTAGTCTCTAGTGTGGAGAAGCAGACAGATTATTATTACAGCAATAATCCTGAAGTGATCCTCACTCTGATCTGACCTGTATTCTCTTACATGATATAACTCAGACCCTAACACACTCTGTCTCCATGGTGCTATCAGTCACATCCACTTATCCACGTTTGAAATGTCAAAGCACATAACGCACATTACTAATTCAGCCCTTGTATGTGCCACGAGCCAGATAACAGATAAGCAATCTCATGTTTATTGCTTTCTCAATATAGAGCCATTGTCCTGCGGTGATGACGAACCGGCAGGTCTACCGGCCTGAGCAGAGATAAGATCCTCTGTCTGTCTTCAGCCGAGGACACTATGACTAAGGTGAAGATGGAAAGTTCTCCGTTACACAACAAGCTGTGATGAAGTGCATCGAAGCCAGGCAATCTTTTATTTTAGAGATGCACATGCTGACAGCGTGGAAGGAAAGCGTCTGATGTAATCTGGAGCTGCCGGCAAAGACACGACTGAGGGGTAAAACGTGGAAAATAAAATGTGTGACAAGGACTGTTACATGAAGCCCATGAAGCTGTATACATTATTTTTAAGCTCCTACGATATTATCGAGTGTTAACCTTTATAAAGTGCATCTATTGCCTACACCACTTTATCATCAAGCCTATCCCAGCTGACATTTGGTGAAAGTATAGGGATACATCTAGGGCACATTGTTGACATTTATTTTCAATGGAGAAGTTGATGGAGAATCAGAATTTGCCCTTTTCTGGAGGACAGGACTCAACCTCTAATGTTAAAAAAAATAAATCCTGGGTAAGTGAAAGAAACTGCAGTTCCTTGATAGTCAACTTGAAGTTGGGTCTAATATCCTAATCCTCATTACGCGTCATGTTATAATCAAGCAGCAACTTCAAGAGCTGACAAATAAACCAAACGCAGAAGTTAAAAAAAAAACCATGCAGTTCCTCGAGAGTCCACTGGTTGCAAAAGACCCGGAAGTCACAACCGTTCAAAAATGTCAATTTCTAAAGCAGAAATAAACATGTTAACAGCCTGTTTCAAAAATTGTTTTTTTGTCTGAATAGCTTATTTCTTGATTTGCACAAACTGTACGAAGGGTGAATTCTTTTATATAACTAATCCGTTTTGATAATATTAAGGCAAAGAATTATTCATAATAAAGGGGCGTGGCTGATCTCACAGGTTGGTGTTGTAACTGTGACAGAAGACTAAAGGCACGCCTCAGCTCCGCCTCTTTGCCTGTTAGGTCTACCAATAGTTGTGATCGCCATCATCAAACCAATGGCCACTGAGACATTTTCCTCATTTTTTATTTTATCAGGGTAAAACTTTTGCACATGCAAAATGACGACTTACGGAATTTCCATTTGACATCAAGTTCAAATTGTTAAAATAGCTTGGTACTCATTTAAAAGTCACCGTCAATCTATTCCACGAGTGACACAACAAAATATTAACCAGAGACGGTAACTATACAGCTAACAGTGCTGACAACTGAGGGGGAAAATGAACCTCTTATACTAAATGTAAGTGCATTCTTCATGTGAATACCAGTCTCAGTTTGGCCGACCATTCACTTTAATTTAATCATGAAAACTGATCTTTGAAGTAGTTCATCCAACAAAAGCAAAGGCCTTTGGTGCCTCCTTTATGATTTTTAATAATAAATTTTATTTAAAGGCACCTTTCAAAGCACTCAAGGTGACATTACAAAACAGAGATAAAAACATAGCTTGACGAGGCGCTGGTGGTGGAGTGGTTGGTGCGCGCGCCCCATTTATGGAGACTGTCGTCTTAAGCGGGCAGCCCGGGTTCACATCCCACCTGTGGCCTCTTTCCCGCATGTTGTTCCGCACTCTCTTTCCCTGATTTCCGACTCTATCCACTGTCCTATCTCGCCAATAAAGGCACAAAAAGACCAAAAATAAGTCTTGAAAAAAAAAAAAAACATAGCTTGACATCTGAATTCTTTTTTATGCACATATTTTACATTCTCCACGTCCTGTCTGACCTGTATTCAAAGTATCATGTGCGTGTTGTATGGCTTGTATTTTATACAATTGTTTTTGATTTGTATAAATGTGTTCCTGAACTTTTTTTTTCCATGTATGTTGTTTTATATTTGTCTGATTTAATCTGTGAAGCACATAGACTTTATCATGAATAAAAGTTATTTCAAAGTGCACACAGTAGTGATTCTGCGCACTTCACCAGCTTGTGGAGAACTGCTGACTAGACCAGTGGTGGTGCTAAACACCAGTTAAATTGATACTTAATAATGGTACAATAAATGCCACATGCCTACTTAAGCTGTCCAAATACAGCACTGTGCTTATTTGCATTAGCATTCCTTTTTCATGGTCAGTATCTGCATGAGGATTTAGAGGGCCAGTTTTTTTTTTTTTTTCCATCAGCGTTTCCTTACAACACCATCATCCTCAACATCATTTTGGTTAGTTTTTTCCACAGTTGAAATGCTTCCTGTAGATATCTGGAATCATCAGTCTGGCCATGAAAGGGGGAAAAAAAACTAAAAGATGCTGAATAGGATATTTGAAAGCTTTCATTACGATGTTAATACTGCGGTCTGCACGGCCACGTCTTCAGCAGT